TATCTCATCCCCTGTTCATTGTTGTGGTGGCAAGCATGAAGCCAATGCCACCACAACAATGAACAGGGGATGTGATACAGAATAGAGTAAAATAGATAAAACAGTTTCAATGGATTACAATAAATAACAGCAATAATAACAATTTTTGGTTTCACCGTACATTTTTTGATATTTTTGTTAGTTTGTTGTCTTGTTTATGGGGGCACCGGATTTCAGCAGGCAGATTCCACGGCATTCGCCCCACGGACTTCTATTCTGGGTCATATCTCTTAGCGTCTCTAACTAACGACAATCTCTTGGACGCCAACCTGGATTGCGAGTTAAACCAACCGAAGTGAAAACTGAAACTAGCCTCTACATACCTCGACGCCAGTTTGTGGTCTGATCACTTCGACATTTCTTCCAGCCCTGTCCAGCACGTTCAAAGAGAGGACGGAAAGGTAGACAGGCATTCGTAAAACGTGACCATCGGAGGCGATGTAGAGCGATTACTTCGTTTAGGGGACGACTATCCACACTCAACACATGATGACGAATCTCGTCGATGTTCCCACCAGATAAGAGCAATGCTTCGGTGAAATCGGTTGTCGAATACAGAAAGTCGATTGGCATCCTCAGCGCGGAGGGGCCAGGTCTTGCAACCGGTAAAGCAGAACACTACGAACCGCAGCCATGTACACCCTTCCCTTAAGCGACTGTTGAATGTTATTGCGGCCCCGCTGTTGTTGCAGATTAGCAAAACCTGCTCTAGCTTTCACCATTCGTGATGTGATTTCCCCAGCAGCACCTCCAGCTGCGATTAAACTTTCGAGGTGCCTAAAACTCTCAACTACTTCCAGTTGATCCCCACGGAGGGTAAGTACAGGCTCCTGCCAGTCTCTGAACAAGCACTTTGCACTTTGATCGGGAGAAGCACATACAATACCTGGATACCTCTATCACCAGGCGGTTGAAAGCTTGTTGGACTGCCTGTGTTTTGTAACTCAGCAAAGCAATGCCATGCGCATATTCCAAGTAAAGTGCTTTGTTCCCCGGACGGAGTTCAGTTCGGTTTCGCTCTTATTCATGTGAAACTATTGATCTTTGTGCAGTGTAACTTTTTGTTCTGGTACATCTTTCTATTTTGTTTGTTGGCTGAAGGTTGTTCTACTGCTACGTCCAATTTACGGTACCGTAGTTCATATGTCCCATTAGTACCCTGTATGTGAACAAGATGCCGAGTGTGCAAACTGTTGCACGTTGATCGTCTTGTGTGCCGTCTGATTTCCCCTTTTCTAGAATGACAAGACGAAAAATCCAACTCTGTGCAGTAAGCAAACAAAATAGTCTCACTACCACTCCTCTCCCCCCATCCTCTGAACAGATTGATTATTATTCTCTTCTGTTCTTTGCAACCCACAGTTATCTTGGTGCCATATATGTTAAGAATATATGTGTATATATAAATTGACGAAGATATATGTATATTTTTCATAATAAGTAGTGTGTGAATAACTGGACAAAATTTCCCTGAAAGCATATGAGCGGTTTCGCGGTTCTTGCCTCTCGTCAGGCATGCGTATCCGGTAATACTTTGTCCGCTCATTCATATACTTACACCCAGGAAGTGTATTTTCGTCACACTACACTTGTTTGCAATAGTGGGTGATTACTGGATAGACAGCTCTTTCAGAGCCATTTGCGAATCAGTACCAAGATTCGATATATATATATATATATATATATATATATATATGATGCCACCGTAAAAGCAGCAGTATTAATAATAACTACTGTTGCAATACGCATCTGGAATAACCTTTCAAACGTTCAACTTTTGCTACTTGCTTCCATCACAGCACCAATTGCAAAACAGCATGCTTTTGGTTTTTGCTCTCGGACTGTCACAGTTAAACTTGAGTTCTTGAGTAACTGCGATTTCTAATGCTTCAGGAACGCCTGACCTAACGGCTCTATTATTAGCTATCTTCCAAGGTGGGGTAGAAGGAGATCGAATCTGTTCCGATGGTTTTCTTTTTT